GATCTGTGAGTTAGCCATGCCCTGACTTAGATCAGCCCAGAGGTTGTTTCAGGGTTCGATCTGTGAGTTAGCCATGCCCTGACTTAGATCAGCCCATAGGTTTTTTAAAGGTTTGATCTGTGAGTTATAGTTAGTCGTGTGCTGCTTCAATTAGATCAGTCCAGAGATTGAATCAGGTTTCCATAAAATTGGAAAGGTTTAGGGTTGAATTGATAAAACTCAGTAGTCATATTTCCTTATTCGAGATTAAATGTTGTCAAGTTCTCATTACACTTGATTAATGATGGATTATTCACTGACAAAGGTACAATAATAACAATCAATAGCATATGCAATATCAGTAAAATATATGCTAAAGTTAAATGACTACTCTAGAACAATCTAGAGTCATAGAACTGAAATAAATATTGTGCTTATCTTTACACACAAAAAAGAGYATTTTCAAAAGTTTAAACTTGTAGCCCAGCAGCTAAGCTCTTAATCAACTTCATTTGACAAAAGCTGTCAAAATATATTGGTACCCCAACAACTGCTATCTTCATGTGGCCAATTTGACTAGATAAATGGACAGGACAGGACTGAAAAATCCTAGTGTAGTCTTTTGAAAACGTACAAAATCAAGCAAGTTCTTTGAACTAATTAACTCTGATGATTAACGTTGGTGTTTCTATGGCAATTGTAATTAATCAATTTTTGGATGTCATGGGTTAATTCTTTAGAGGAAATGGCATGGATGGATGGTTTTGAATAGGCTATGACCTAAGAATATTATTTCTGGAAGATTCATGGTGAGAAAAAATACATGAAGATCCAATAAGACTCGAATTTTGTGGAATGGTATTGAGAGGGGTATAAAACATCTTCAGTAAAAACATGTTTTTAAAAATGCAAAGTAATATATATTGAGTTTCAAGAAAACAAACAAAAAAACTGACAAATTTCTGTATGAAAAATAAGGTTGATTAGATTTAAGATATTTTAAATTTAGATATATTGAAATTTTATCAGAAATATATTTCTTAAATCTAAGATGCTAGAGTTTCTAAAGATTATCTTCTAACATGACTAGTTTCAGAAAAACACACAAAAATATCAAAAATAAATGAATTCATGTTTTAAAAAATCGAACAGCACAATCAATAATTATAAATAATTATAAATGTGTTCTTTGGGTAACTTTTAAGTTCTTGAGAATAAGAATAAAATATTAAGCTTATAAACATCAATCAAATTATTTGTGTAGAAACAGATTTTGTTAGTTCTATATAATCAATAATAAAAATAGGAGCACATAACATCATATATCTTAATGAATTTTTGCGCTATATGAGTAATAAAATTTTTATTATTTAAATCAAATTATTCCAAAAATATGAAAAATATATTGTACTTAGCTGCAGAATTTCCTGAATTATTTTTTCTGGACCAAAGGAAACTTCTAGGTACATGTATTTCGTACATGACAGTACAGTCATTAATATAAATTCAACTGCGTAAATAACTAGCAATTATTAATTCTAATAAGAATTCCAAAGATTTTCTAATTGAACAATATGAAGATTGAAATCAAATTTTTATAATAAAGTATTAGAAACCAAAATATTATTTTTCTTCTATTAAAATCCTAAATGTCTTCTTTGGGTAACTTTTGAATTCTTGAGAATAAAGAATAAAATTTGAAGCTTATAAACATCAAGCATGTCTTGACATAGACTAAACATTTTAAAAACAATTTGAACACCAGTTATGTTTTGATTTGTAAAAGAAAAGTAGATTTGTTTATATTATACCGAATTGTTTTCTTCTGGGGAAAAAATATTTCACTTTTCATATAAAATATAAAATCGAAGGCAATAAAATTTTTTTAGTATAAGCCAGATTAAATAAGAAATAATTTTTTTAATATGAAGTTTTCTGAAACTATGATAAGTTACCTTCTCTTTTAAGCGAAGTGCAGTCATGATTGATAATGAGAACTGAATTATTATTCGTAGCCTCAGAACATTCGTAAAATAATCCAGCATTATACATTCGTTTGATATTCGTGGCTTTCTCAACCATCCACCAAACTTTCCAGTAATCAGTCGCAAGACCCAAAACCGCCATTAAAATGGCCACCAAAGCACATTGAAAAGTTGTCAGGATCTTTATCATAATGAAATCGGTTTTACGATCTTTCGTAAGCAGCTTCTTCCAACCCTTTGCTTTGAGTATTAAAGCTTCTCTGACGAACTAGATTTTATAATCTGAGCTTTTTAGGTGCGTCAACCAAGCGAGAAAAGTCAAGAATACCTTTGAAACGTAAGTTCATGGTCGACACCCCATTTATCATTCGTAAAGCAAGCKAAGGACACGCTTTGATAGTCAAGCATTTCAAACAATTTAAAATTCAAATGTTCTAGTTAACCTCCACRAAGGTTTCTCAGTTTAAAAAAAGGCTATAAATGATTTTAATTAAGGTATTAAGATGAGATAAATGTTGGACATCAACATTCCAAACGGTGAATCACTGACAGACGACGTTGCGTTGGAGCACTAATACAGCAAATTGTATTGACATCAAATAGAAAATTTTATATCTATGAGAATGGTTTGGAATAGATACCTGGAAGTCCACCACTAAACCAGTCAGTGCAATCTTCTTCGAGTAATAACCCTGTTTCATTGTGTCTTGATTCATAACACTGTCTAAACAGACCTCGAAAGTGTGTGATGTTATGGCCSTCAGAAACAACAATCCACTGCACCCAATACGTTGTAGCAAGCGATACAATAAGCATTAGGATGGCCGCGATGGCACACACTACAGTGGTGATGATTTTGATCATGATTTCGGTGGAGTTTTTTAGCAAAAACACCGAGAAATCTTTGGGTCTTCGAAGCGAAGAATTTTTTGGACGCCGAAAAYAAGACGCTGCATTTGCATTGTGGGTATTTAAGGATGCTGCGTGATGTCACGCCCTAAAGAAGAATGACGAATATGTGGGTCACGCAAAGATAGGGGTAACGCTTGTAAGTAAAATAAATGGAAGGAACGAAGGGAGAAAGAAAGCAACCATCTACCCCCTAAATTATCTAATTGTCCATCCCTTAGACCAAGAGAATATTCTCTTGCTTAGACTTATTATTCACTATGCGATTAATTATTAATAGTAATTGAGAGGATATATAATGGCATATACAGGCACATAACTTTAGCTTCAAAATCAAGCTAAGTTAAAGAAGGCAAGAGATATGGTCAATCCTCGAATACTGCAAGAGGTAAGTATATGCTAGTTTTATAAATATATAAGGAGCGCCACCTTACTTAGGGACGGACAATTGGATAGTTGATAGGGGGGTTGCGTAATCCCCCCCAAAAAATATCGAGCAAGCATTTAACCCCCCCAAAAATATCGTGCAACCTCTTCTGCTAAAAGAAAGATATCTAACTGTACGRRAAAAAAAAACAAAAAAAAAACTGTGCATGGGTTGAGCCAAAAAATAAATATCATGCAACTTAGCGGACTAAAAGTCTCAAAGACCCAAACTTGAATTCGAGTTTTCAAAGGAAAAAATTGCGAGCAATTGGAGCAAGTCTACTTTTGTACTAATTGGACACACTATTTACTCCCCGCACACATTACCACTATATCCAAAGTATYCAATGCTCTATGCACACAACGTTCAACTCACATGTTTAATTTTACGGAATTAGTCACGGAATGTGTACAAGTTTAAAGTTATAAGATAAAATATTTAAGTATTTAGAAAAATTTAAAACTATCTATCATCGTGAGTATATATAATGAATAATGAGTCCATTAAGCTTTTGCTATATCACGGTTTGACAGCTGCATCGTATGGATAAATTAGGAGCAAAAACACCATTCATATGTGRGAAGATCCTAAATTTTGTAAAGCATCATCAATTGAAAATCAAAGGCGTAGAACTTTTTAATAATGAACAGTTTTATAAGCAAATGCGTTGCATGTTTTGCAAGCTTTTAAGGGACTTCCTCGTGGTGAAATTAAAACTATAAGATATTAAAGGACTAGGCTTGTCAAAAGGTTCATTAAATCGTTGTTTTTTTTAATCAAAAGGCCGTTAAAACGCTATGAAGTTTACGTATTTTAGCATTATGCTATGTTAACTGGCTTTTGTGAGATAAATCTCATTCTATCATTAGAATTCTTTAATTAATCGTTGAACAAAAAGTGAGAAACGTTTTAGTGAAACACATTTTTGCTCCTTCATTCAACTAGTTCATAAAAGGTCTCTGGTAATCGATCTGATTATAATACTGTACTCTATTTACTGGCAAAACATCTAGTCATTAGCTAGTCAAGTGTGTAGCCATGCCAGTTCTACATTAACGGAAAGCTCTGTTGATATCTTGTGCTATTCGGCAAACAGTATGATCCGTTGATCAAAAATGAATGATTCCAGCAAGCCTTCTTCGACCAAGGAATACGTGTTTATGCCCTACGATGTTTTTATTACCAAACTGGTTCTYTATTCCTTAGTTGGTGTTTTCTGTGTCTACGCTGTTGTGGCCAATGCCTTTATTCTGTACGTCAAGGCGAAACTGCKAACCAAGCGAAAAAGGAACGTTCACAATCGAAGACCTTTTGATCGCTTCCCAGTGGTCAGTATGTTTATTCAAAGTCTAGCATACTCGGATTTCTTTTGTGGTCTGATTACTCTGCCAGTCGCCATCACAGTAAACTTTGTKGATGTTATAACCAGTGACATGATCTGCAAGACTGTCCGTTTTTGCAACATTTTCTTTCCAATGGTAACTATGAACAAYCTCTTTGTAATTGGAATAGAAAGATATTTGGCAGTGTTTTATCCTTTTCTCGTCCCATCCAGTCGTTCAATCAAGGGACTTGTMTTAGGGGCGTGGATTTTTGGGGGGATCATATCATTGGTTATTTCCACCACTTTTAGCCTAGAAATTCGAGATATCGGCCCCACCACATACACCAAGACTTGCGTGTATAACAAAAATGTTCTCCTGTACAAGGCAATGTTTATAACATCTTCAGTGGTTGTCTATTTTATCCCAAGTATCATCTTAACCTTCACTAGCCTCCGTTTAGTTTGTTTCTTACGACGAAAAAGAAAGACAACGCCAAAAACCTCTAAARTTAATTCGTGGAGATTTTACGGGACAAGTACTTTTGTGATTCTTATATTCAGTTTTGTTATTCCATATCTAATTTTCATGGTGTATAATGCGGTGAGTACTGTGTTAAAGTTCGACTTCAGCTTCACGATGGAGATTATTGTAAGGAGACTTAGCGCAGTGTTTGCATAYTCTAATTCCGCAATCAGCCCCACCGTCATGCTTTTTAGCATGCCTGATCTAAGGAGAGCCTWCAGAAGATTCGCAAGACGCCATTTGAGACTAGTAAGATCTAMACGCATCAGCTCTAATGTGGTCAGAGAAAATTACCAATTAAGTAACGACCATAACATACTCCCTACACCACCTGTCCTTGTGCCAAATACAGAACAATGCAACGCTAATGGAACAACTCATCCATTTGTTATAAATAATATACATACAGTTCAAAGGCATATTGAGACCCACATGTAATTGCAGTGAAACAAAGTGAATCATTTTAAAATTGCTCTTTGCGGAGTTCGTTTAAACGACGCCTTCCTTGGGTTCCAATAGCGCAGCGCAGCCGTGACGTCATAAAAACGAAGACAAAGGCGAAATTCGGACAAACAAACTTACAAGTTTACTTTCAGCAGATAATTTTMRCAGCCSATYGCAGTTGATCTTAGTTTACATGGGWTATTATTGTAACTTTAAGTAAAAATAATAAAATCGGTTCGTATAATCCTCGTAGCGGTTAAACAGAATGCAATGTTTGTCCGAATCTTTAAGCTATTTTTAGAATCAGCGCGCTGCGCTATTGAACAAGACATATAAGGAACAAAAGATGCACCATGTTCGCTATCTCATCAGAAAAGCCGGTGGCTGGTCTCTGTTGAGCACAACTCATATGTCTATACTTTTTCAGGTTATTAATATCAATAAATGACTCGTAAATGTAACAAATAAATTATCTTTTAGATGTGTAACCTTATAAGAGAAAATTTTTTTCAATAATGAGCAATAATGGCAAAAAAGCGCCAAAAACTAGACCTTCGTATGAGTTTTGATTCCAATTTTCGTTTTGGGTTAACACTCAAAACCTTTTTTAACAGTTAGAAACTGATGTGCCATAATAAAATGCTTGTTTGAAGCGGTATTTTCAATTGTACGAAGATGTTTTGTTGCATTTGTGTTAGAATGTTGCTTTGTCAGGTTTTTTAATAGAAAATGTATGGGAAATAAGCAAATGAAGGCCTAAACCTCATTTTCGATTCAAATTTTTGCTTGGGTATTGTAACGCTTTGATTCTACTTTCATCGGTCATCTCCACTTCCAAACAAGTTAAACTTTTTGAATAACAAGATTTTAGCCTCGTACAACAGCCTTTCTTCAAGAAAATAGTTTTTGGCGCTCACCGCTTGAAGGCGAAAAGACTTCTCTCATAATATTTGTCATTGCATTTCCGGGTCCAACTCAGTGCTCATAAAAACCAATTAAAGAAAGCGCAAAATAATGAAAAAAGGTTTATTTTTGTTCTCCATCATCTAACCTCCACCTGGAACAATTAGAACTTTGAACAAAAAATTCTGTCATGAAGAAAAATCTTTATAAAGCTGCTATTCGTTTTGGATTGACTCAAAAATCGTTCTTCCATTTTTTTCCTACGAGATTCAAAATGGCCTTATGATTGAATGCACTCCCATCCGAAAAAGATTTATGTTTTATAGCTACTTTGGGGTATTGAATCTCCATATTAGTAAGTCTATTAAAACATTTTTTCGGTTATTAAACTCAAAATGAAGCTAAGTAGTAAATCATCTTGATGAACCAGTCATTTCAATTCAAGTTTTGCAAGAATTCTTCAATTTTAAGCTTTATTCTTACACCCCAAAAATCGAAAATATAGTCGCGTTTGCGCTAAATCCTAATGCCTTTGTAAWTGAAAAATGAATTCAACTCACCAAATGTCTTCTAAAAGCTTCCATTCTTTTACAGAAGCACTTATTTCCACGTACTTGTGACCAACTGTTCATAAAAAGTCTTTCCCATCCACACGAAAAGAAATGATTTGGGTTCCCTGTGGTATTTCTGTTTTAGCCAATCACAGACGTCGTTAGGTAAGATAGCGTCGTTAGTTCCCAGTCTGTGCAAGTAACAAGATGGCGGCTTTGTTGTGAGGACGAGTCCAGCTGTTCAATGTTTACCTCGACTTTTGACCAGTTTTTATCACCCCGATCTCACCTAAACTTACGAATATCATGAGATAAGACCCCACAGAAGCTAGTTTTAAGATGTCAAGCTTGGTGATACTAGAATCTGTGAGTATTTCTTATTTTGATTCAAGACAATGCTTAAAGTCACATGAAAATTAAGACTACACGCTATTCAATTGAGATAATTATTATTGACTTTAGGCGCGAAGTTTGAGATATCTGTGCTCTAATTATTCCAGGTCCGTGATAATGTTATCGGGGAGGTTTTTAGAGACTTTTTACGCCTCGAAACTGTGTTAGCTATTACTTTTTGTGTGGTTTGTTTACGTTGTATGAGAGGCCTAAAGTGATGTATATTGTTTTCGATAAGTCAGCTCAACTTGATTAAAAACTATGTCCTACGAAATCGATGCTTTAAGAGCTAGTATAGGATTTAGCAGAACATGTACAATAGAAATTACAAATTCGCTAGTGGGAATAAAGATACTTATTCCTAGTTTTTAATTTGTTCAGGATAAAGGAGAGTTAAAAGATATAGATGACCGACTGATACAAGATGGTTATAGTACGAGTATACCAGTTGAACACAAGCTTCGTTACRTATGGCGCCAGTTTGGGAGAGCTGAAACCAGCCTTAAATCCTCTTTGGAAAGCCTTGAACAGCTACGCAAGCAACATGCTGAAGAAATGATTGAAGTAGAGAACTATGTCACTCATATCCGTCAACTTTCTGATGAACGAGAGGACTTGACGAAAGACCTCGAGACTGAAAATGAGCAGCTCAAAGCTGAAATGGAGCAGATGAAAGTTGAACGGGAAGCAGGGGCAGTGGTGTCGGAAGAAGTATGTGATATGTTGAGAGATTCTGGGATGAAGGAGATCAGTAAAGAGACAAATACTGTGAAGAATCAAGTTGGTCATCTGTTGAAAGAGAGGGCGACAAACTTGGAAAGAATTCACAGGCTTGAAAGAGAAGTTGAGTTCTCTAAGAAAGAAGACTCCTCAAGTCAATCAAACAAAAAGGTGATGGAAATTGTGGAACAGGAAAGAAGAGAGATGGAAGAAGAGATGAGTCGCTTGAGGGAGACGACAAAGCAGGTTAAAATGGAAATGAAAAARATGCATGAAAAAGAATTAGAAGATTTAACAAGGGAAAACAAAGAATTGAAGAAAAAACTAGATCAAAGTCAAGATCAGTTTAATAAAGATATGGCTGTAATGTTGAAAAAATTTGAAGGTAATATTCACAAGTATCACTAAGCTAGAGCAGTTTTCATATGACTATGAAAAGCTCACAGCATGGAAACATGTTCATGACATGGCAAACGGCAGCCCAATCACATTGCACAAGGATTCACTCTCCATCCAATCAAATGAAGCATAAACATGGCGCAGACATGGTCATGCCAAATTCACAGCACTATCAAACCAATCACACTGCACAAGATAAAAAATCCCCMAATCAAAATTCTAGAAAACATCACAGCCATGACATGCTTATGGCACAGAGCTTAAAGAGCAACATTTTCTGAAGGCAGTAGAGTCTCATTATTTTAAACCCAAACTTCCTGTTACTTTAAGCTTGAAACCTTATTGTCGCATGGATTTGCATCAATATATAAATACTACATGCTAACGGGGACAGATCCAGGAATTTGTTAGGGATGCCGGTCTCCAAAAGGTTCAAAATAATGGAACTCCACTGTAATTAGATGCACTAGCTGCCTACATGTACATTGGATTCAAACACTAACCAAGAGTTTTGTATTACTGCGATTTTTATAAATATGCAAACTCTGGGTCCCCAAGTTGCATGTTGAAATTTGGTTTTTTGCTGCTGCCAGTCAAAAATATCAAAGGTACYGACTGATTAGCTTTGATTGACAGCTGCGAAAAGACAAATTTCAGTGTGCAGCCCAAAGACACAGGGTTTGCATGTTTGCGAAAATTGCAGTAAATGGGATATTTCAACCAATGTTTTGTTTATTGTGTGATCCCAGAATTTCCATACCCCTTATGGATGAAATTTGAAAGAAAGGCRAACCCCCTTTCTCTGGAATTCTTAGTTGTTGTTTTTGTTTTTCCTCAGATATTCCTCAATGCTTGGTGTGGATATTGTCTAGAACCAAACATTTTACAAAAACTCCAACAGACTTCATAATAATTTGTAGTYTAATATAATTTGTGGTTTGTTAACGTTATAGATGACAAGATGCGCTTGGTTGAAGAAAAAGAAGAAGAACAGGAAAAGACGACCCATCAGCTTAGCAAAGCAGACAGAGTCATGAAGGAAATGGAAGAAATAAAAGTAAAAATGAAAGACATTGAACAGGAAAAGATATCACTGCATTCTACAGTAAGTAAAGTAACATACTTAGTTACTATATGGCATGGTAATTTTGCTCRCTTTCATTGGCCAATTTGCGGWCCATAACTTAAGGTACGAACCACAAACCCAATTTTTGTGTTCGCCTTAACATATGATAAACATCAAGATTATTAACCTTGTTTACTCTGTCTGTAGGTAAGTTAATATGGAATTTTTTTCTCCACTTTTTCATGGCCTGCRCGTTATATTGAGCTTAGGCCATAAGGTAGTGGRAAAAAACKTGGTCCATAACTTACTGTATAGACCTCGCACTTGGTTAAATAAGAGCTTGATGTATTTCCAAAAGTTTATTCTATAAAAATTAATATTGAATGTCATATAAGTTGCTTGATTTGCTTGAGATATACAATGTTTTTGGCTTTTCAAACCATGTGTTGTTCCCTGGAGTATTATTTCTTTGTGTAATAGTTGTAATGAGAAGACATGAATATGGATAAAACTTAAACAAAGAATCTTATTCTCAAAAAAAGACCTGGTCTGAAATGTGAAAAAAATTCTTATTAAAATCTATTAAATATAGTAGCCAAAACCTGGCTAGATCAACTTGTTTTAGCCATTACAAATATGTATGAGTCCAGAATACGTTTTCTTTATAGTCTCATTCTTTTTAATTTCAAAAGAAAATAATGGGCTAAGTATTGTCTATTTTAAAGTTCTACTAAATTTAATTATATTTACGGTAGGAAGTCTACCTTTTTTATTCAAGCACAAAGACCCCACACACAATGAAAGACAGAACCAAGTCCATGCAGTTAAATTTTGAAATATGGTCTAAAATAATAATATTTATTTACTATGCCTTTCACATTGTATATTTTACTGAGCTTTCAGACATGTTACTATACCTATAAACCAAGACCTATTTAATTTAATTCTAGATGAATATATTTGTTATGTCAATTGTGTAGTTCCAAAAATTATCCATACCCCCTCATGGAGGAATTTTTTAAAGACTCCCCCCTACCCCCCAGAAATTCAAATTTTCTTCCATACAAACTCTGTAATTTTTGTTCTTTCYCTGACCCCCCTACTCTTCGGGAATTCCAAATTCCTCTGTGGGGTGGGTATGGATGATTTCTGGAACTACACATTCTATAGAAAAATCTGCACTGAAAAAATATCTATTTGTTTGACCTCATTTTTAGTCTGCATGGGCAGTTATTGTTTGTTTTACATTTGGTAACCCATTTTTGAATATTTCTACCTCAAGCAGCTGTCACTATTCTTATTGTTTCCATCCCTAAATTGAGCTTGCTGGGATTCATTTCCTAGGTTGGCTTGGATTTGTCACTCACAAAACACATTTGAAATCAAAATATTTAAAAAAATTCACAGTTTACGTCATTAATTATTTGAATATTCTAACTTCTCTTCAGTTGTGTAAYACTATACATGTCAAATATTATCAATTCACACAAGAAAAATATTTGAAAATAATAATTCAGCATCTTTGGGATTTTTGATTAAAAAAAAAAAGTAAATTTAAGAGCTGTAAGTTGTCCGATGACACTTAAATTATTTTTCTCTGATGTATAATGTTATATACTCTCTGCTTCTTTGATTCAGTCATCATTTCTTTTTGGAGAAATGTAAGTTTAAATTCTTGGATATGTTTTTGTTTATACCTTTAAATAATAAATGAAGCTCAAACAGGAACACCTTYCAATACAATAAACTTTTTAAAAACAAAAACATTCCATACTGCAAAGCTGTTGTGTCAGAAACTATAGCCATAGTTYGATCAAAGTGTATCTGAGTTGTTAAGCTGAATTTTTCATATTCATATAAGCTTCACAAATTCAAATTTTTATTCAAAAAATTTTTTTTAATTTATGCAGATGSGAGGAACGTTTTTAATGAACTATTTTATATTTTAGACCTGTAGTTTCRGTTGTAGAAATAAGTCTTTCATTACAAGCGATGATTGGAAAGCAATGATATCTCTGGTGCTAGCTAAGACAGATATTATACCGTAGAATTGTGGCAATCATGGGGAGAATAATTGGCTCCCAAGGAAAGAAAGTTTCATTTTTAGATCTTGATCATTTTTAGTGGATTTAGTTTTAGTTTCATAAAGTTTTCTGTCGTAGTGAACTAAGAATATTTGGAGAGTATTTTGATCATGTCTCATTACGATCATTTATCGTGGTTTGGTTTTACTGGAAAAGCTTGTGGAATCGTATCAACTTATCACAAGCTACGTTTCCTACACATCAATCTTGCGGGAAAATGCAAAGAAGCATTTTTACTTCATGCCAAGGTACCAATTCTGAAATGTTGCATTATTTTATAGTTTTGACTAACTATTTGTTACATATTGCAAAGGCATTGCTTTAATAATGATACAGATAATCATACATTTATTGCCTAGTGATATTTTTTCTCTCCAAATTTTACATTCATAGGTAGAATACATGAATATAAGGATTCAGTAATTCCTAAATAATATTTCAGGTGCTAGATTCTGCAAACACATAAATATATATCATATATGTGTATCTAGATAGCTTAGATATTTTGACATTTTTAGTGAACAAGAACAACTTAACAGCAAATTTTAAATTTGAGGGTAATAGAGCGCATGCAGTAAAACCATGAAATAAAAACAAAGTTGATACTGACAAATACTTACCCTGCGAGCAGAGGATTTTTTTGAAACCCTCTCCCATCTCCCCAACCGTTGGGAGATGAGAGAGGGTTTCAAAAAATCCTCTGCTTGCAGGGTAGCAAATATTTAGCTATTTAGTGACTAATAGTTGCTATCACTCAACCAGAACATGGATTACACAAAGACAMAAATTGCCTCTTGTGTGTGTCTCTGTGTAGTGAATGTWCTGGTTGRGTGATAGYAACTATTAGTCACTAAATAGCTAAGTATTTGCCAGTATCAACTTTGTTTTTATTTCATGGTTTTACTGCATGCACTCTAGTAGATCAGAGATAATAATAGATGATAATATTTAATTAAGCTGACCAACACAATGCTTTTTTGTCAGGTTCTTGTAATGAAATAAGTGTTGTGTACCAAAAAACTTATGTTTTCAGTAAAATCTCTTCCAGTTTTGTTTTTCCCCAGTCATTCACCAGTAAATAACATAAAATTGAAAAATACCAGTTGCATGATCATATGATACACAATGCACAAAACTCATGCAACCTGCAACACTAATTTTGTGAGACAAGTTGCATTAGATATTGTTTCATGCCAATGAAAAGAGAGAAAAATGAACTTTGACACTTGGTACATRCATGTAACGATTGAAATTGTTGTAAAATGTAGAAATTTTTTTGCAATATAAAATTTAAAAATACCAGTTGAATGAGCATATGATACACAATGCATAAAACTCATGCAACATGCAACACTTTCTTTGCAAGACAAGTTGCATTAGATATGTAACAATGAAACATTAACCTGAATGTTTATGGTGCCTCTCCAAGGTCAAGTCATTAGAAGAGGAGATAAGAAAAGAGAAAGAACAGTTGAATGGCAACAAGGCAACTCAAGATACAACMATCAAGAAACTAAGAAGTGAACTMTCARYAACCAAACAGAAGTTACTTGAAACTGAGGTGAATATTGAAAGAAAATAAATTTAATGAATATCTTATGTTACATTATAAATGGTTATTCTCGTGAAGAGTAGGGGATTATCTCCCGGTTCAACAGCCTATCCCAATCTGAAGGCATAACACTAACGTACTAACAAATCAATCATGATTGTAAGGTGCACGSCTGCTACTAGTGCCTTAATATGCAGCCCGTATAGTCCTCTACTGATCTTGTGAAGCACCATTGAGCTCCTGGAAATGGTGCTATATAAATTCATCCCTTTACCTTTTTACCCTTTAATTACTTGCCTTGACTGAATGACAATATAATCTTTCTCCAAGACTTGTTCACTCAGCTGATCTAGATGTCTCCGTAGAGCCTGTAATCTAAGCTTTTCCAGGAATTTTTAGAAAAATATGCATTTTTATCATTTCACCCATACAGCCTTGCTCCCGCCCTCTAATAAAACCCTTGGTTAAACTCAAGTGATGGGGGCCGGACGGAGGAAGAAATCAATTATCAAATTTTTTCATTAAAAAATATATGTATTCACTGTATTCATTGCCRGTTTAATGTCATTTTTTTTGAAGGCCAAGATGAAAACTGTACAAGAAGAAAGAAATACTTTAGAGTCACGTCTTAAGATGGTCACAACTGATCTTAATAACTTGAAACAAAGAGAAAACCAATTGAACACAGAAAAGGTATGAATCTAATGGCTGAGCTCTATTCTGTCTTAATATAAATCGTTTTTATTTTAAAAGTGAAATACTTTACTTTGGCTAAAAAAAATTACTGTGTGCATCACTACTATAACCTGGGCCACTTAGACAGCGAGAACCGATCAAATTGTAGAATGAAAACAATGCGTTCCAACTTTGAGGAGTGGAGCCAATCTGGTTCTGACCGAGTGTTTACCATTTACCAGAAAAAACTAGAAATTGCGGTTGTAAAAACAAATGTTGTGTGTCATACTGAATCGGAAAGTTYTGGAAAACTCGGTCTTCCRATTGAGATAATCCCATTTTTCGCATTCTTTTTACGTTCTTCCGGTAGACGTGTGTACCATTTGTCAGAAGTCAAAGTTTCCCACTCTTTTCTTRCCATTGGCAAACGAATTTCCAACCAGATTGATTGGTATATGGTAATCACGTCTGGACAGTTCCTCATAAGTACAGCCGCTTAGTACGTAATTTTGGGAAATGTTTAACTGTCGAGTAGCTTTCATCTGCCCAGTTGTATACAATATATGGTACCAGTAAGGGCTGGTTCACACTTTAACATAGTAAGCATAAACGTAAGCTTAAGAAACACAAGTGTGGACCGGGCTCGCACAAAGCATAAGCATAAGTAATGGAAACTTTTCCATTTTCTTATGCTTGTGAAATCCAAAGTGTGAACTGGGCGTACATAAGCATAAGCATAAGCATAAGAATTACAAAAGTACTATGTTTTTTATGCTAATTTTTATGCTTATGTCGAATTGTGAACCAGCTCTAAACTGAGGTCCAGAGGGGAGGATGTAACGTATGATGGACTTGCATCCTATTTTAAGMAACTAGAAGTAGTGATTCTCGGACTTCTTTCATGCTACTGAAACTTGAGATAAAAATATCACTTGTGGACTTCAAATAAATTTAACTTTTTTTAAACTTTTCTGTTGTATTTTAGGAAAGTCTGCTGACAGAAGGAAAGACAAACGTTCAAAAGTAAGTGAATAGAACCTCTTCGGCTCTGACGTAATGTTTTCCCATTTCAGACCACATGTCATTCCCTAGAGTATCATTTCTTTGTTTAAGGTTAGYGCTCGGTTGCACATGAGGAGACACATGAATATGGATACAGCTCAAACAAAGAATCTTATTCTCAAGAGAATGACACGTGGTCTGAAATGGGACAACATTACCCCAAGCTGAAGACGTCAATTACAGAGGAAAAAAGCATGAGTTACAAGTATTTTAGAATACTTAGAATACAGAACATGAGAATGAAAGATAAGAGAGTCTTATCACTTTAAGTTTCAAAATGATGCAGCTTTTGAGCTGTTACTCGTTCAAAGAGGGCTTTTAATCCTTCATTGTATGGAACATGGATGCAGCGATTTGCAATGCCAATTGAACATTACTGTCAAAGTTATTCAYGATCTCTCGTTGTTCTTCAGGCTACAAATCCAGGTCACAACATTAACAGATGAAATCAAAAGTTCAAGAGAAAGGCTAAAGACCTCAGATGACACTATTGCAAGGCAGACTAAGCAAGTTGAAAATTTGACGGTTCAACTTGGCGAGGCAGAGAGAATGTTGAGAGAGAAAGAAGAAGACATGGAAGATTTAGACAAAAGTACAAAAAATGAGGTTGGTGGTAGTTTTTAAGGTATTCTTATAATTAGTTGTCTGCTATTCCCTTCCTTCCCTGCTTGCTTGCTTCCTTGCTTCCTTGCTTCCTTGCTTCCTTGCTTCCTTGCTTCATTCCATCTTTCCTTTTTATTTTCTTTCTTTATTATATCCTTTCTTCATCTTTTCTTCCAGGTACTAAATGAAGTCGTAATAGACAGAGGGCCCTCATCATACCTGTGTAATTTGGACATCTATTGCAACGATCGCCACATCACATCTGTACAAGGGGATGGTAAGTAAGATATACTTCGAGTGTATTCTCTGGTTTCCTACAACCCATAAACACCTTGAATTCTCACATACTAAAGTGTTTTATCTCTATCACGTTCATTGCGTTACAATACAATAATAAAGTGTTGCGTTACATTTCTAGGCGTCATCATTTCATCGCCAACTGGAAGCACGGCCTATGCTCTTGCAGCTGGTGCGTCCATGGTTCATCCTAGTGTTCCCGCCATGCTTATCACGCCAATCTGTCCGCATTCTCTCTCATTCAGGCCCATCATTCTTCCAGCAGGAGTTGAGATCTTGGTTAGTTAATCCCTATAGACCTTATTGGCTTGGGCGTTATGTTTTCCCATTTTAGACCACGTGTCATTCNCTTCCTCGCTTCCTTGCATATTTAAATCTTTCTTTCAGTACACCTTTCTATTTTTCATCTTCTTTTCTTTATGTCTTCACTCTTTCCCATTGTCATTTATTTCCTCTACATTTTTTCTATGTTCTCCATTTTTTCCACTAAGAATTTAAGTAGGGTTGTGTGCATAAAGAACACTTGAATGACAAGACAAAAAGGTACAATGAATCACATTTGAACTTACCTTTAAATAGATAAACAATCTCAAGGCAAGACTAGCTCAAACATCCGAAGAAGCATCTGACTTAAGAGAAGAACTAGCAGAAACCAAGAAGCACTATGAAACGGTAAAAAACAGATCAATATTAATAATATTTTTCGCGATTTTTTTAGAGCAATTACAGGGTTCGTCGGCTAAAAGTACGGAAACGCGATGCAACATTGTTTGCATCATTGCAGGCAATGTTACTGAAGTAGGATAGTTTTCTACTTCAGCAACGTTGCGTGCAACAAATTGCGTTGTGTGTCATGGCACGCAACATCAATTGCATGCAACATTGCGTGCAATGTTGTAACCGTGTGTCTGTAGCTTAAGACCTTCAACTGACTTGAAAATATTTTCCAAAATTGTAGGACCAAATTGACTCTTCGTTTGTCAATGAAGGCATGCGTACAAAACAACTTGCGTAAAACAAGCCGTATATTTGACGAATTTATAACCTAAAGAACTTTAAAACTATTTGAAATTCAATTAAAGTTAGTAATTATTTTGGGTTTTTTTAACAGATTATACAGCAAAGTAAAGAAGAAGCAAGTTCTTTTAGAGAAAAACTAAACGAAGAAAGTGGAAAAAATAAGAATGTCGAGAGCGACAGAGATATATTAAAATCACAGATAACAGAGCTCAGAAAAGTGAGAAATTTTACTACTTCTTAAAGATATGTATATAATATTACAAAGTAATAGTATAATAACCATTTTTTATATATTATTGATTAAAATTAGAAAAAAAGCTTGGTTTGATTTTGCACTAAAATGGTTTCTGTATTCTAGCAATGTGATTGGTTGCAGAGTCGTTGTATGTTGTTTGATTGGTTCAGACAGCAAGCCATTTAAGTGCTAATCTGATTGAGTCCCAAAATATTGATTCTCGTATAATTGGTTATTGATATCTTAATTTATATTTCCTTGTTTTTCACAGGATTTAGAAGCCTCCCTAGCTGCTAGTGTGTCTCGGGAGAAAGAAACAATGAACCAAATAGCTGTTCTGCAAGATGATAAAGACAAGTTAGCGAGAGAGTTAGCTGGTTATATATCAAGGGAGAAAGATATGGTAGGTTATTGAAGGAAGACGATGACAACGACAAAACAGCAGTAACAAAAAGAACAATAGCAGCAGCAACATCAGCAGCAACTATAGCAGTAACAGCAGTAGCAGCAACAGCAGCAGCAACAACAGCAACAGCAACAACATGACCGCAGTAACAACCGCAGCAGCAACAACATGACAGCAACAGCAACAACAGCAGCAACAACAACCAGCAGCAGCAACAGCAACAGCAGCAACAACATTGCATATAACAACAGTATTAACAACGACCACAACAGCAATAGCAAGAGCAGTATAACACAATAGCAACACCAACTTTACCCTTGTTAGTGATCATTTGCGCATTTTAAGAGAACATTTTATCTTGTTCAGACCAAGTGTATGGAGGAACTACGACTARCGATGCAGTCTTTTGAAGGAGAGAAAACATCGCTACAAACTGTGATCTCATCTCAAGAAAAACAAGTTGCTGATCTGATTATAAAGGTTAGTTTACCATGAATTCAAAGAATGAAATCTTTCACTGCTTTTCTTTTTGGTGAATTTTCATTGTGATCTCTTTACAATTTCCCAAATTTATTGACGTTATTGATGGGTTGCAAGCATTC